ATCTTTAAGTGCCTCACTGATGCCTTCGTGGGCGTCAAATGTGACTCACATACATGGTACATGTTTATCTGCACAAATGCACTAATCGCGCGCTGTGATGTTAACAATGATTCAAACTCAACATTTGAAAACACATTTACGTGTATGGCTGTAGCTGAGTGTGCAAAGACGCTTGATATAATTGGTTGCTGCCAAGAGGGTCCGGGTTCAATTACCATCAGACGGAAGATAAAATTAATATTTTTTTTCTTCTTAATTATAATTTCGTATAACGAAAAAGCATCTGTGCACTTCACAACGACATATTTTATAACGTGCACACTCAAATNACCATCAGACGGACATAAAATTAGTTATTTTTTTCTTCTTAATTACGAAAAAGCATCTGTGCACTTCACAATGACATATTTTATAACGTACATACTCAAATTTAAAACGAGTTGGGTTGGTGCTCTTTCATATGCTTATTTTTTTTAATTTAGCACGTTTTTTTTTATTGTAAATTTTTGTCCCTCAGTGTATACATGATATTTACCTTGTTTATGCCTACCCAAAACAGCATTAACAAAAAACTGAATCGATTCGCACACATTTCTTTCAAGCGTTTATCTCCCGTTCGTTACGTTCCGCCTCGTGCATTATAACCATTCGCAATCATTTCACATACAATAGACAGTTAAGTGAGAGTTCACTCCGTCCGGTTACTTCAATTATAGCCTGTGAGGATTGCTGTTAATATGTAGCTTAAGCTCGTCGGCGATTTCAAGCATCCGTTGTTGGTTACCCCAGCAACGAGTACATGTGTGAGTGTCGGGTTGAATGTCGGGTGCTTGAAGCTTGCCCGGCGACACTCAAGCATAAAGCGTCAACACCATTTGCAATAAAATTTCGTAGTGGGCGGATGTAAACATGTCTTCATCGGATGACGATTTTTTGCAACTTGCCACTAAAATCTTTATCTTCCGCGAACTTGCTCATTTTACATATCACAACAAACTAACACACTAATGCTTGTCAACGCTTTGCGCCACTATCAAACAGACCGCTTGTCAATCGGAGATCGTCGTGTCACACGTACTTGTTGTCGGCTCGTGTTGATGGAAAATCAAAAACGTAACCAACAACGGATGCTTGAAATCGCCGACGAGCTTTAGAGTGGTTCATAAAAACACTCTTTTTGGAAATTCATAAACGCTACATCAGAATATTGTTATTTGTGATAAAAAAGAGACACGTATTTTTTTATTTTGAAAAAAAGTTTTCTTAGAGGTCGCGCTGGTCGGTTTTTTATAAAAACGCTGATGTTCTCAATTTTTTTATTTTTTTGATATGTTAAAATGCAGCTAAAAAAGTGGTTTTTACATACAGGGTGTCCCAGAAGTAACGTGCCAAACTTTAGGGCAAGGTAGGTGGGGGGGTGAGCTCACTGATAAACAAAAAAATTTCAGGTAAAAGTGTCACCGTTTTTGAAATATTTACATTTTTTCGAATTTAAAAAAAATCGTGCCTTTTCATGTGTTTTCTTTAACTGCAACTACAAACCGGGCAATACTTAGTAAATTTTTTATGTAAAATACTTCCAGATAGTTGCCTCTCCATACTCAAATGCAATGTAGTTAAAATANAAAAAAAAAAGATTGGATTTGTTCGAAACCCGGCACTCGAGAGTTTTTGGGGTCGCCGATTACGAATCGGAAGTCAGTTTTTTTTAATTCAAAATGGCGGATCCAATATGGCGATCAAATTAAAAAAAAAGTACTAAAATTAAAACGTTGATACTGAACGTTTTAAACATTGTCGAGGGTTAAAACACGTTTCTAGTGGGTTTCTGGGGTTGCTGATTACGAACCTGATGTCAGATTTTCAAAATTCATAATGGTTTATCCAAAATGGCGACCAACTTTAAAAACATGATTGGATTTGTTTGAAACACTTAACCACCATTTTGAATTTTGAAAATCTGTCATCAGATTCGTAATCAGCAACCCCAGAAACCCACTGGAAACGTGTTTTAACCCTTGACAATGTTTAAAACGTTCAGTATCAACGTTTTAATTTTAGTACTTTTTTTTAAATTTGATCGCCATATTGGTTCCGCCATTTTGAATTTAAAAAAATTGACTTCAGATTCGTAATCGGCGACCACGAAACTTCTCGAGTGCCGTGTTTCGAACAAATCCAATCATTTAAAAAAAAAATGGACCGCCATTTTGAATTTCGAAAAACTGACTTCAGATCCCTAATTAGCAACCCCAAAAACCCCCTGGTAACAAGTTCCAACCCATGACGATGCGTAAATCGTTCAGTATCAACGTTTTAATTTTACTAGTGTCTTTTCGAGAGCATATTTTCGGGAACTAGGCCCTTTCTAATTGTCCAAGACAGGTGTGTAATTAAAGGAAAGTTCCCCAATAATACCAGAGTAATTATATGTAAAAACCACATTTTTAGCCTCATTTTAACATATCAAGAAAATAAAAAAATTGAGAACATCAGCCTTTTTATAAAAAACCGACCAGAGCGACCTCTAAGAAAACTTTTTTTTTCAAAATAAAAAAAACACGTTTCTCTTTTTTTATCACAACTAACAATAATTTGAGGTAGCGTTTATAAATTTCCAAAAAAAAATTTTTTTGGACCACTCTAATGTAGCTATAAAAATCTGTTCAAAACTTATTATAAATATGCTCCTATAAACCGTCGTTTAAAATATAAAACCGCGTATCGTCATTATGCAAAACCGCGTAATTGACATTTGCTGCCAAAAATTGGATTTGCTCACACAAGCTCTTGACTCAATCCTAATCCATTCGTCCTGAAATATATTAGCCAGAAATGCGATTGCTTTATAAAAAATAGAACCATTTTGAAATATGAGTGTTTTTACTCTTTAGAAAATAATTTATGAAACCTCACATACGCGGTTTTGCATTATCTTAATACGCGGTTTTGCTTTTTGTTTTGTTGATACGCGGTTTTGTACTTTAAACGACGATATGTATGTATGTTTATCGAATTCGCTAAGGTTGGGGTGAACCATACTATATAGGTTTAGCACAAAAGATCTATGTTTATAAGTTGCAGGGCTAGCATTCTTGCAAATATGTAATAATAAAAGCAAAATAGCGAAATTCTAAAACGCATAGCAAGTATTTATTATTTTATATATCAACAGTCTTTACTTACGTCTTTTTATGTGGGCACAATCGACCATTAAGTAAGTGCACTCAATTTGCGAGCATTCATCTTTCATTGTAGGCACTCATACTCTTTATAATTTCACGTTATCACTAGATCGGCATAAAGTCATTTACGACAGTGCATGCGAGTGAGCGAGTTCGAAACGGGTCTGTAGCTCCAAGCTAACAATGTGATTATAAGACAATCAGTATGAAATCGGTTAATTCGCAAGACAAGGCGTATGCGTTGGGTCAAAGTGGATTCTGATCAGTTGAATAATAGAAAAAAGTATATAACAACATATAAGTATTTAAATAAAGAGTACAAACAATTGCGTGCTAAAGTGACGGCGTTTAAGTGGTCAAGTTCATAAATGGCAGTGCACAATGGAATGAATGCTAATTGATTAAATATTTCAATGAATTTAAATATGAGCTGAGAGTGCAATTGCACTTTTATTTATCAATGTTTCAAACAATACAAAGTAGGCCTGCTGCGCATATGCATATTTACCTACAAACTTAGTATTTTCACTTTCGGTGCTGTTTGTGCAACATATCAAAAACAATTAAGAAGTGACGGCGAGCAGTTCGAACTTTTTGGCTGATTAAAATTACTTGCGTGTAGAGCAATCAAGTTAATGTTGTTGCGCCCATCGGAATCGGTGTGTCCATTAAGTGTGACCGAGGTCGATTAACTTGAAATATTATTCTTGAACTGTATATGTCTAAAAAAGAGAGGTATTTAATTGAGGGCCATTCCATTGTTATTGGTGGGGCATTTTACTCCATAATGTTATCAGTTGTGAATTATAACTATGTTGTCGGTACATATACAACAGCGAAAGATATTTTTTAACATAGCTAAATAACTAATATATAAAATTTTTTAACAAATACACCAAACGATTTCTTAGTTCTATGTAACTAACGTTTGAACGAATGTGACTGGTGGGACACTGAGAAGAGTTCAATTTTACCTTTATGCACTAAAATATGAATTTAAGCCAAAACCCTTAATTTTCAGGAAATATGTTTTTGTGTCGTAAAACATAAACTATAAGCTTTCGGTTTCAATAAAACTTAGGCTGATATACGTAATCTTCAAAGAAATATTAAAAAATATTTAAAATTGTGACGGGTGGGTCAGGTCCTTGTGACTGCTACAGCTTCTTTTTCTTTTAATATTTTTCAAAAGATGAATGAAATGTAGTCATTTAAAAAGAGGTTACTACTGGAGTGGAGGTAATTAGGGCATTGTAAAATTTATGTCTTTCTCCTCTTTTACGTGGAATGACCCTTAAACAGTGTATATACACTAAGCAAGGTTGTCGAAGTCGATTTTTAAGCTACATACATATATGCAGACATTGGATTGGGTAAACATTTGGCTACGTGGTTTTAGGAAACTTACGAAACACTTTTGACTAAAGTCGGAGTATCCGCCTTAGGGGGCCGGCGTAAAACTGTAGCCAACATCGAAATGAAAGCCACAAATTGGAGGTAAAATTAGACCAAACATTCAATATAACGTGTGAAGGGCCAGCAAGTTTTGTTTATATTGATTTTTCTCTGAATTTATGCACAAACTAGTTTGTCCTCACCCGCTTCACTGAGTGTGTGAAATGTTTGCTCGAGCGTGGCAATTCTCTTCAAACACCTCAAAAAAATTCGAAGTCTTCAAACTAAAGACTTGTTAACACTCTTTCGTTTGACACTTAAACTTCTCTATAATTTAATTATTCCCGATTTTTCAAACAGGTGGTAGCCCTCTTCAAAATATTGTCAAACAACAACTTATAAAGCCTTTATTGTCTGACACCCATATTGTGGTAAATATTTTAATTACATAATTTCCTTTGTAATGAATTTGACCTTTTAAACAGGTAGGAAAGCATTTTCAAAACCATTTCGATTGATTATTGTAAAAAATTTATGGAATTTATACACATTTTCCCATACCAAGTCCCAGTACTCTACCACAAATACTTTCACACTGAGAGAAAAACGCGTTGTAATATTAAGAAAAATGTTATGAATTCACTTAGGGAAATAATTCATAGTAAAAATTAATATTTTGTATTTGATTATCGTTTTAAAATGTTCGTATTTATAAATAATACTTTCATACCCCGCACGCGTGCTGTGGAGTTGAGACAAATTCAACATTTAAAAGCACATTTACAGGCCTGGCTGTAGCTGAGTGCGCAAAGATGCCTGCCAAATTTGTTATATTCCAGAGGGTCAGTGTTCAAGTCGCATTGCAGGCAGCATGGAAATTAATGTTTTTTTGTTTATCTTAATTATGAAAAAGCATCCGCGAAGTGTAAAACGCTTAATTTTAATACGGGCGTACTTGAATTGAATATTTCCATACTAAATACTAAAATTTATTACGAGTTGGGTTGGTGCTCTTTCATATGCGCATTTTTTTTTAATTTAACACGTTTTTTTTTAATTTTACAATTGTTTTCTCTTAGCGCAGAGTTATAAAAATATATAATATTGGCGCATACACATATGTTAGTTTTTGGCCGAGCTTCTCCTCCGATTTGTAGCGCAAGCCTTGATGTTGTCATACAAAGAGGAGCGACCTACAGTTTTACGCCGACTCCGAACGGCGATTGTATTTTTATGAGAAGCTGTTTTCCGTGGCAGAAATATACTCGGAGGATTGCCATTGCCTGCCGAGGGACGAACGCTGTTAAGAAAACACCTTTTTTCTAAATTTTCTTATTTGCGATGTTGCTTTGACCAAGGCTTGAACCCAGGCCCTGCGGAGTGGTAGCGCACACTGCCAAAGAGTTATGCTATATGAAGTTCCGTTTGTATGGGAGGTTCCACGACCCCTGCTCCAATAACTGCCCCTTCTCCAAAAACGCTTATTTTTTCTATGAGCGTTGTATTGATTTTATATGTATGTATATCTCCATACCATATTCCAGTCCTCTACCACAAATACTGCCAGAGATATGCAGTATGAAAAATTCCGTTTATATGGGCCACGCCCCTTTTCTAATCGAGATTAAAGCAGTCCTATGTACATTTTAAGTTGGGCTGAATGACACCAGTGTACAAAATATCACGATGTCGGTTTAGTTAAAGCGGGAAAGCGCAACAAACAAACAAACTCACTTTCGAATTTATAATACTAGTGTTCGCCCAGCGGTTGAAATTCAACCGCTAAAATTAAGGATAGTTTATGTGAGTTGAGCTGAAATAACACTAGTTGGAATGGGTTAAGTGGAGGGGAGTGTAGCTTAGTACTTAGCATAACATAACATACCATAACATAAGATTAAATAATATAACATATGCAGCATAACACACCACAATATAACATCGCACAATCTTCAGTTGCATTTCCTTTTTATCCCTATCACTTTCTTCCTCTCTATCTTTGTCTCTATCGCTTTTAATGTTTATGTTTATGTTTATCTTCACCTTCATGTTCATGTTCATATTCACGTTCATGTTCATGTTCATATTCTTGTTCATCTTCATCTTCATCTTCATCTCCATCTTCATCTTCATATTCACCTTCGTTTATATTTAGGTTTCCTTACTTTTATTCTAATCTTTACCTTTATCCCTTTCTTCTTCTACATATTCAACTTTACCTTCTGCCTTGCATGAATCTTAATCTTCATAAATCTGATTCCTAAACTGCTGCTTAGCAGATTTCTTTAATTCAGTAACAATATTAAAGCATACTTAGTAGACATATTTAGGAGGCATTTNTCTTCATCTTCATCTTCATCTTCATCTTCATCTTCATCTTCATCTTTTTCCTCGTCTTGGTCTACATCTTGTTCTTCATCTTTATCTTTTCCTTTATCCTGATCTAAATATGTCCATTCTTTTCTTCATTACATATTCACCCCCACCATTGTTATCAGGTTAGATATTTAAATTTTCCTTCCTCTTTGTCTTTATATTTAGGTTTCTTTACTTTTATTTTAATTTTTGTATTTATCCCTTTCTTCTTCTCCATACTCAATTTAACCTTCTTCCTTGTTTGAGTCTAGTCTATTCGTGTACATACCCTGCAGGGAGTGACGTTAGCTTATACCTAACTTTAGTCTGTTTACGCGAACACTAGTGCTAACTATTAACTGTGTATTTTGTTCGAAAAAAGCTAACTACTTTTGTGGGGCGATGGCCGCAAAAAAGTCAGACCTGGATACCTCTGCATTACATGTCAACTAACTTGTAACTAACTACTTTTGGACATAAAATATCAATAAGAAAAACAAAATATTTTTTTGTTTTTTTACTTTTTTATTTAGTTATTTATTTACTTTATTACATTTCATATTTGTTTACATATTCTGCTCTGGGTGGCCTCATATTCGAACACCGTCAGACATAACTTCAAAATGATAGTATAAAATTTCGATCTTCCTTTTATTTGTCCTGAATATGAAAAAGAATCTGCGAAGTTCAGAAAAAAGTGTATTGAAAGTAATTTTTGTATGAGGATATTTAATAGAAACTTGTAAAGAAAACCAACTCTCGATTGCGTCTGCATGACTCCTGCACGACTTTACAATTCACTTTAAGTTGGTTTTGTCATAGCTAATTAAAAGTGAGGTATTAATCGAAATCTCGCCAAAAAGCTAACTATAAGTTGGTTAGTTTTAACAATTGATAATTTTTCACTGCAGGGTACATACATACATCTTATTCCTAAACTGCTGCTTAGCATGTTTCTTTAATTCACTATCAATATTAAAGCATGCATTTACATGTATGACATTGGGATTGGTGTGACCTTTGAATTGATTTTTTCGCTCTATTTTAAACTAAATGATATTTTAAAAATTGCACATCAGCATCAAAATACCTTTCTAATGATATATAATTTTGTATACCTTAGAAGTATAGTTTAGCCGTAAAAGGGGTGTAAAGGAAACATGATTGCCTATTTATATAATTGATTAGTGCGGATGGTACATTAATATGGAATAATCTCAACAAATCGGAGGAGAGGCTCGGCCAAACACTAACATATGTGTAAGCGCCAATTTATTATTATATTAATCTCAACAAATAATATTAATATAATAGATTGGCGCTTATACATATGTTAGTGCTTGGCCGAGCTTCTCCTCCGATTTATGGCGTGCGCCTTGATGTTGTCACACAAAGGGCAGGGACCTACAGTTGTACACCGACATTCATATCACGGGGGAACGACCTTCCACAACTTTGAAATTTCCCACAGATTCCAATCTGCATAATGGCAAGTTGGCATGGACGATGATCCTCAAAAGTCAGGATGCGATT